TTTTTTTTTTAGCTGAGCCACCCTGCCACCTGTTGGCAGCTCAGCAGCAGCTCAGCTTGGGCTGTGACTCAAACCACTGTTGCTCAGAGCTCGCACTCTTGAATAAGCTCTTAACCAACTGAACCACTCGGCCAGCCCTGTCTTTGTTATTATTGAAGAACACACATTTCTTTTTAGTCCACTTAAAATGTGCACACATTAGAAACCAGTTTCTCCATTCATCTTTCTTTCATTCATTCATTCATTCATCCATTCATTCATTCATTCATTCATTCATTCATTCAACAACCATTGAAGAGCCTATTATGTGCCAGGAATTATACAAGGTTTTGTATGGAATGCAAAGGAATAAGTATCACGTCTGTAATGGCTCAGTGCTATGTGGGAGAGGCATGAAAGAACCATTTTAGTTTATATGTCAGGTGCTGTGGGAACACTGAGGAAAGCACTACCACAGTGGTTAAGGGGCAGAGGTCAGGGGTGGCTTTACACATATTACATATACTTGAAAGCTATATGAAAAAAAAAATAATCTAAGTTACAGAATTGAATTGCATATTAAGAGCAAGGTTTTAACTTTTGGACACATGAGGAGCTCATGGCTCTATGTTAGAACTAAATTTCTGTCATCCTGCTCAACTATTGGGTTGTCAGAAAAATCGTGATGCATGTTTGCAACAGATGGCACTAGTTCATTTTTGGAAGTACTAGAGTCATTTGCATCTATGTTATTGCTATGTTATTTGACAGCTGATAGTTCTAGCTTTATTCTAAAAAAAATTGAGTGATTTGGTTGAGTTTTGGAGATTTTACAACAAGTTGAAGATGGAAGACCAAACTGTGCATTTTTGCCATATTTTACTGTTTTATATCCATAAAGGGAAAAACGCACGTCAAGCTTGTGAAAAGTTGCATAAAGTTTACGGTGACAATGTTCTACAAGAACATCAGTGCCAACCATGGTTCACGAAATTCCGTGCTGGTGATTTTGGTCTCAATGACGCTCCTTGGTCAGGAGGCCCCACCGAGGTTGATGACGACAAAATAAAGTCATTGATCGAGTCAAACCCACATTACACGATACAAGAGATTGCAGAAACATTGAACATCCATCATTCAAGCATTCACGACCACCTGAAGAAGCTGGGATACGTAAGCAAACTCGATATTGGGGTTCTGCATGAACTCAAAGAAGCTCATTGATGGCGTGTATAAACATCTGCAATATGCTCATTAAACATGAGGAAAACAATCCTTTTTTGAAGCGACTGATAACTGGTGATGAGAAGTGGATTGTTTACAACAATGTGGTGCGCAAAAGGTCTTGGTCCCAATGTGATAATTCGC